TTGGTCTTGAGCCCGGGGCCTTCCCCTCATGGCAGTCGGGGCAGCTCCTTGTTGTGAGGGACAACTGCCGCCCTGAGTCCCTGTAATGGGAGAAAGGCGGAATATAAGTGAATAAAATAATAATACCCTCCATATTTGCGGCTTTGACTTTTGAGGATTTGATTATTCACAGATTTTATTAATATGTTCTTTCTAGGAATATTTAGGTCCTCCAGCGCAACTCTATGGTCAACTTTAACCAAACGTTGCACTGAATGACCTAGAGGTTCCTAGAGAGAACACTCCACTAGGCTTTTGTAGCTCTTCCAGCTCAACTCTATGGTCACCTTTAACAAAAGTCTCACTGGAGGACCTAGAGATTGCTAGAAAGAATGCTCCACTAGGCATTTGTAGCTCTTCCAACGCAATTCTGTGGTCAATGTCTGGCATGTGCTGACCACAGAGTTGCACTGGAAGACCTAGAGTGCTTTTGTTATTTGCAGTTTTTCCATACTCGTGGGGGTCCTCTTCTCCTACCCCAGCGAATATGGAGGGACGAGTGTATTTAGTGGTGAGATGTTTAGCTGCCATTGCCTTCCTCTGAGGCCAAGGTCCAATTTGCACTGCAAAAATAATGTAGTTTGACACCACTTTAACTGTCCTGGCTCAATGCTATGAATATTTTGGGTTTATAGTTTTGTGAGATATTTAGCCTTCTCTGTCAGAGAGCGCTGGCGCCACATCAAACTACAAATCCCAGTGTGACACCATTTATTTAATTTTTTTTCAGGGTAACCAGGTGTCCTAACCACCAAGGAGGTCAAGGCACCATAAAGTGGAGGACCTTCAAGGAAAAATTGAGGACCTGACCACATAAAAGGGGAAAACGCTCATAGAAATGGAAATTCAAGCTTCTTAGACCGGATTGCTCTTGAACCGAGGGCTTTCCCCTCATGCCAGTCAGTACTAACAATATTTAACTGTAAGATGTTTAGGTGTAAGATATTTTGCCTTTTCTGTCACAGAGCACTGGCACTGCATCAAACTACAAATTCCAGTGTGACACCATTTATTTAATTTTTTTTCAGGATAACCAGATGTCCTAACTACCAAGGAGGGCAAGGTACCATGAAATGAAGGCTGTTCAAGGAAGAATGGAGGACCTGACCACATAAAAGTGCAAAACACTCATAGAAGTGGAAATTCACATTACTTAGTCCTTGGTTGCTCTTGAATCCAGGGCTTCCCCTCAAGGTAGTCAGGGCAGCTCCCTGACTGCGGAAATATTTAGCAGTGAGATGTTTTGCCTTCTCTGTCAGAGAGCACAGGTACCACAACAAATTACAAATCCCAGTTTGACACTGCTTTGACTCAGGGTGATCAGATGTCCTAACAGCAAAGGAAAAACAGAGGACCCAATAAAAGTGAAAAACACTCATAGAAACGGAAGTTCAAGGTTTTTGGTCTTGCTCAAAATGGAGGACATTTTCAAATTCCTCCTGGACAGAAAGTGGAAATGAAGGACATGTCCTGGAAAAGGAGGACTTCTGGTCCCCCTGATTTAACTGCCATGGCTCAATGCGATGGGATTCTGGAATTTGTGTAATTGTGAGATATTTAGACATCTCTGTCAGAGAGCTGTGGTGCCCTACCAAACTACAAATCCCAGGATTCCATAGCATTGAGCTCTTGCAATTAAAGTGGTGCCATTTGGGGACTGAAGAAAATGTAATGGAAGGGGACACAAAATTCTTATTTGGGGGAAATGCCCTCAGTTTGTCCCCCCATAACTACACCAGTCAACCTGGGACGATGGAAGCAGGGTGACCAGACATCCTCTTTTTCCAGAATTAATGCAGTTTGACAACACTTTAACTGTAGTGGCTCAATGCTGTGGAATTATGGGATTTGTAGTTTTTTTGTGGCACCAGTGCGCTCTGACAGAGAAGGCTAAATAGCTCACAAAACTACAAAATCCCAGGATTCCATAACAAAGCCATGGCAGCTAAAGTGGAGTCAAACCATTAATTCTGCATTGCAGATGCTGCCTATGAGACTGGTTCAAATCACCACTCAGTGGCAGTCTACTAACCTCATGGAGTTATGAGAAGAAAAGGGAAGAAAGCCACATATGCCACCTTGGTGGGAAAACAGGCTGTAAATGTAATTTTTAAAAAAAAAAATACAATACTTTTTTAGACTTGCACCTGACATGGAAAAATGTAGGGGTGTGTGTATGTGTGTTTAAAATCCTCTGCAAACACTTGTGCTAGAAGGAGGGGATTAAAACCCTGCCCAATATTATATTCCCATATTGCAGATGTACGTGTACAGTCAGCCCTCCATATCCACAGGGGTTTATCGTCCACAGATTCAACCATCCATGGATTGAAAATATTCCAAAAACATAAATCCCAAAAGGCAAACCTTGATTTTGCCATTTTATGAATCATAGAATCATAGAACAGAATTCAGGAAGGGACACCATTTTTTTACTATGCCATTGTATGTAATGGGACTTGAGCATCCAAGGATTTTAATATCCATGATGGTCCCTGGAACCAAACCCCAGCAGATAGCAAGGGCCCACAGTAGTTGTGTGATTTTCTGTTCAGGAAGATTTTAACTGTTGGGTATAGCAGTTATTACCACTTACTGCAAAAGTGTATATAGAAAAGAACATAAAGTGTGCCCTGCTGGGATCAGGCCAGCATTTTCTTCCCACCATGGCCAACCAAATGCCCACCTTAGGCTGTGATGAGTATGCTAATACCTCCCACTTATGTTCCCAGCAGCAGGTATTCAGAGACATACATAGCTTTCATGACTAGTAGGCACTGCTAGCCTTATCCTAAATGAATGGATCTAATCCCCCCCTTAAAGCCGTCCAAGTTTTGCATCCATCTACATCAGTCATAAAAAAATCATCCTTGATTGGTCCTAAATCTTCCCCCATTAACCTTCACTGGATAAACTTCTAATGTTATTATGAAAAAGAGAAAAAATATCCCTATATATTTTTTTCCAAACCATGTATTATTTTATACGCTTCTGTGAATAAATTTGTATTTCATACACTGCCCCCTCAAGATTTTATTCAGTTGGCTTTCCCTTTCAACGTCCATTTTAAATCTGTTCCATCATTTATCATAAGTTTACCCTTTTGAAGTTAAGTATGACTGTGTTGGTGTTCCCTGCCACTTTTCCATAGACATATAATTACGTTTGATATCTTTATGACTACTGCCAATTAAACAGTGGTTTAATTACAATTAAGTCCAGGATCATCCTTTCCCTATTCACCTCTAGGAACAATCATTTATGGTATCTAGAAATTTTTACTTCTCTGCCATAATCTAAGCATGCATTTACACAGTTCATGTGAATACAACTGAATCTGCAGCAAAAGATGTTCCACCTAAACATTAGGAAGAACTTCCTGAAAGCAGTAATTGTTCAACA